TGGTTTACCCAACCGGTCAACCAATAAGTCCATAATTTCGGTTTTGGTTTTTTGACCACAATTCTCTCAAAAATTAGCCACTGAATTTTGTTCATTGGTTATTTCACCATTCATATATTAATTTTTTGTCGTTATTTATCATATTTCTTTTTATAATTTATCCAACTATCACTCATACTTTTTCCTTTCTCTCGCTTCTTTCATTTTTCGCATTCTGTCTTCTAAATTTCGCTGATAAGTTTTAATTTCAGTTAGTAAAGAGTTTAGTTGTTCAGGATTATTTACTAAAAAATGCTTTTGAACTTCTTTTAAAACAATCTTCTTAATTTCCTCCTGATCAGAATTTAGCATATTAGTTAAACGGATAGACCTTATATTCTCACTATCCGAATAAAAAGGCTTAAAAGCTCCTAATTTTTCTAATTCTTGCTTAACTTTGTCTGATATGCTTTTGTCATTTTGACTATAAGCAAAATATTTTTTAGTAAATTCTTTGATTTTAGTTTTTAATCCTTGATTCATTTTTTTTATTTATTCCGCATTTCTTTCAAAAATATTTCATGTCATAACCTTTTGGGGGATTATAGCACTTATTGCAGATATGGGCTTGGGCGGCTGCTCTTTCATAACTATATCGGTGATGTCCTTCGCAATTTTCCGGGGTTAATTCAATTCTTTCGATCACTTTATTTTTTTTGCTTTAATTTTCTTTTTTTTTCGATACTTACTCCGTGAACTAATTGGCTTTTTAAAACTCATTATTATTTTCCTTATCCTCCCACCCATGTTTTTCTAATAACTCTTTGACTGGATCGGGTTCTATTTTACTAGTTTGTAAATTTAAACTCATGGTTGCTTCTCTTTGTCCATCCCCGATTAAAAGAATGTCTCCTGAACCAATGCCACAAATAAATTCAGCTTCTCCTGCTCTTATCCTTTCTCCCAACATGATTAATAATTGCTCGTTGGTTGGTTGAATTGTTGGTTGTTTATTATCCTTTTTAATTAATAATTCAATATCACTATCAATTGCTTTTAAATAATCAACACTATTGCCATAATTGGTAATATTTAGGTGTTCGATCTGGTAATTAGCACGCATGATTGATTTATACATTAAATAAGCCTTTAAATACTTACCTCCCGCATATTCTTTTAATCTTTCCATGGTTTCTATCTCTTTTAATTCATCAAGTTTTCTAAATAAGTAATTGAGAAGTTTTTTTTGAGCCTCATTCTCGGCAGTAGTCTGATTGATTAATTGCTGGATTTTTTGTTTAATTTTTGTTATTTGAATATTTGTATTTTCTTTCATTATCTTCATAAAGTTTCTTGGCACAGTCATTTTTGTTACAGTGATAAATGCCAAAATGCATACTTATTTGCTCTTCATCTTTGACTTTACAATATTTACATGCTTTATTCATACTTTTATAATTCTCCGTGCTTTTTTAGGGCTTCGGTTAATTCTTTTACAGTTATACTGCCCGGTTTATCCTGAATTAGTCTAAAAGATCGGTTGTTTTTCTCACATCGCTTACAATATCATCATCCGTCATCTTTTTTGACTGCTTTTTCTCTGATTTGTTGCTTTAATTGATCGTTTAGAGACTTTTTTTCCTCAGGCTCTTTTAATTCGGGGTCTTCTTCATCAATTACCCTAATTAGGAATAATTTGCTTAATATGTATTTCATGGCATAAGTTTCCGCACTTCCTTTGGCTTTGGCTAAGTCAGTGTTGTCTCCACAGGCTCAAGATTTATAAACTTTACTTTGCCCAGTTTCTTGATCGCTAACTTCTATTTTCTTTAAGTATCTTAAAAAATGCCGGTTGCCCTCACGCTCTCATAATAGTGGTTGGGTATCGTCATCCGTGATTTCCAAAGTTATTTTTTTTTCTTTTAATAACGGCTTTAAAATCCCTAATAATTGGCTTTCTTCAAAATATTTATAATTCTGATGCTTGTTTTTTTCATCTTTCACTAAACTGGAAACAGCTGCCTGTATCTGGCCTATTTTGGTTAATAATTCTTTATTTTCCATAGTTATTTATTTTCTTATTATTCATTATTTAATGAGAGCTTTTTTTTGCCTATTTCTGCCAATACATTCCTAATTCTAGTTTGGTAATAAGTGATTTCTTTTTGGTATTTGTCTAAAATTTGGGCGATTTGGATTAACTTCTCTAATTTAGGCTGGTTAGGAAAGAGTTTAATAATTTGCTCTTTTTTGCTTCCTGACTGTCAAACATCGGTTCCTAGACAAAAAACATGATTTCCTAAAAGGGTTTTTTTATTTACTTCGTTAGCTGAATTATTTGAGTTATTTCCTTGGTTATTTTGGTTCATAGTTGATAATATTCATTAATTAAAGTCTCTAATTCTTGTTGCAATCTTTCTGGGGTGGCTTCACTTAATAATCAGTCCAAATTGACTCCCCCTTCAAAAGCCAAATCCTTTTTTAATAAGTAATCGGGGTCAGCATCCATTTTTTTTACTTGTTCGCGATAAATATTAGTTGCTTCATCCAGTTCAGTAATTAGCATATATAGTTCTTTCTGAGTGGTCTTAATTTTTTCATCAATTTCTTGTTTTTCTTCTTCGGTGAGGGGTTTTTTTGCTGGGTCGAACTCATAACGAAGAGGAGCCAAAACATAATTCTGCTCTTTAATCTTTTCATAATTTACTAAACTTCAATTATCTTTTTGACAAATCTGCTGGATATTTTCAACACTTAAAAATCTTTGTTTATTTTGCCATTCACTAAACTTTTCTGCGTTTAGAAAATAGATGTCTTTATTGGTTTTGTCTTTATTTATGAGCCAAATAGTAGGGGCAATGTTTGTTTGGTTAAATAAATGACTAGGGAGTTGGCAAACTAATTCTAATCACTCTTTCAGCAACTAGTTTAGGATTTAGAGCAGAATTTACTCCGGCTGGTAAAATAATTAAGGCTTTTTTTCTCGTTTGGGCGATTATTTTATTAATTCAACAATAATTTTCATCCGTTAACTGGCAATGCTTCTTTTTTTGATTAAAGGGAATATTGGCGATAGTATAATCACTTTCTTTACTTTCACTGGCTAAATAATCGCCAAAAGTGATGGGGAAGGGAACTTGTAAATTGCTGTCAATATCATTCCCACTAATTTTTAGGGTTTCATCTTTTGCTTTGGCTTTGAGTAAAAAACTGCCTAAACCACAGCAAGGGTCATATAATTCTCCTTGGGATTCTACTAAACACTCAGGAGTGTAATATTGGGCTAATTTTAAACTTTGTTCTTGGGCTTTTTCTCAATAGGCTCGATAGGGATTAGTTTGGTTCATATTCAATAATTCATTCTTGCTTCTTTTGCCTCAGTTCTTTTAGTTCTTGGCGAGCATCTTTTTCAGTTCTATAGATCATTCATCCGAAAAGTGGTAAGTAAACGGCACAATTAATCATTAAGGTTATGCTTTTCACATCCAACTTTCAATAAAAAAGGGTCAAAAAGAGACAAAAAATAAAAAAACCCGTCATTGGTCACAAAATTATTCTTCAATTTCTTAATTCCCTTTTTGTTTTTTTAATCGCTTTGTTTATTCCCGGTGGTTGATTTCGCTCCATTTCGTGGTCGGCACAAAACTCACTACGATTAAATCTTTCAGGAGACTGTCAGTAAAGGCATTCTGGGCAATTTTTAGTTTTGAATTTGATTATTTTTTTTCTATTACTTATAATATTCTTTTTTTTGCCTATCAACCAACTAAAAAATACTACCACCAAAATTACTCCTATCCCGATTACAATTTTAAAATCAGGAGATTGAGAAGTAGAAGTATTTTGTGAAATATTTTCTAAATTCTTTAATAACTGTTCAGCCTTAGTTTTATAAACCGAGTAATAAACATTATTGGTATTGATAATTTCCAATAATTGCTTTCTTAACTTTGCAATTGCTTTTTTATCTGCTCATTTCACTTTTTCTACTCCAGAAGCAAGGTCATCCATTTTCTTTTTGGCTCCGATTTGTCCAATCTTTTCAGTTAACTTTATTTCAATTTCAACTAATTGATTAGGTTCCAATTCTTTTCCAACCCTCAAATCCTTAATTTCTTGTTGGGCTTGGTTATCCAAATCTTTTTCTTTTAGTTCGTTATCTACTAACTTTTTATCTAAACTAGAAATAACCTTATTCCTATACTCGTTAGGATTAACTTTGGCTACTTCTGTTTTGGCTTCTTTAATTTGCTCCTTTTTTTCCTCGTAAGCTTGTTCTCCCTCGTTTTTGTCTAATTCACCTAGGGCATTCTTTTTGTCTTGGATAGTAGCATTCGGGTCTTGGGCTTTATGTAAGTTTTCATTTACTTCCTCAGCAACCTTTTTATCCTTTCTCTTTTGTTGAATATGAGATAAAAGTTTATCTTTATAAGAATTAATCTCATCCTCTTCTAAAAAACCACTTAACTTATTTTCTCAATCTTGATAATCAAATCCTAAATCAGAATTAGTAAGTATTGGTTCTGGTTTAAGCAAAGCAGTTTTAACATCAACTTCAAACAACTCTTTAAGTTTTTGGATTTTAACTTTTTTTAGATTTTCGGCATTATTATTTGTTCTTCCTTGTTCTCGGTTAGAATTGTTGTTATTATCGTTATTTGTTCTGGGATTAGTAGTTTCTTCGGTTTCTTCTGAATTAGCTTCATTGGTTTCTGTTTGAGAAGTATTATTGCCACTATTTTTAGAAGCAACTAGTTTATCAACTCTTTCTTTTATTACTTCACAATGCTTATCTACCAAAATCTTATTCTTTTTTTTAGACAATAAAAATTCTCAATTGTTAAAACACTTTTCCTCTAACTCGTTTTTATCAACTCCTTTATTTTTGGCATATTTAATGATTTCTTTACTTATTTCTTTTTTATAATTATCAAACCTTTCTTTACCTTGCTTAATTGCTTCTATAACTCTATCTTTGAAAGAAATAATTTCACTTTCTTCTCTTCAAAGACAAGAGTTTATGTGTTTTTTGTGAAGACTATTATTTTCTGAATTACCAAATTCTTTAACTTCACAAGAACACCAATCAGGCAAAAGAGCCATTCAATCAATTTCGGCAGTTTCTATATCAATATTACTTTCAGAGATAGTTTTATTAATTTCTTTAAAAGCATCATTCTTTGCTTTAAGAACTGCCTTTTCAAGAGCTTCTTTTTTGGTATTTTCCACATCCACCATATCTCACATAAAATCATTACCAAGCTTCAACTCGTGTCTTATTCGATTAAAAGCAAAAGGAGCAGGGCAAACAAATGCTTTGCTTTCATTTCCATTGCTGGGAAAAATTAGCACTCTACCACTATTGCTACTCTTCATGTCTCCTAAATATTCCTTGTAGACTTTAATTCAACTGTTATAATTTCTCGTTCCATCTGCTTTAAGTCGAGGAGGAAGTTCAGAAACATAATTGCCATTTTCATCCTTTTCTCTAAAATTAACAAACTTAATGGATGTAGGATTAGAAATTGTTCCACCATTAGCAATAATAGCATCACCTAATTTTTTCTTAACTCATGAGAAATAATATCAAATTTATATTCTCCCTCTTGCCTATCAGAACTGTATTCTAAATCACTAACATTAAATAAAAACTGCTCAGAGCTCTGATTAAATTCTTCTAATTTGGTTCTTAATTTTTCACTAAATCCTTTGAACATGTTATTAAAATTACTGTCCTTTTTTAACGCAGAGGACAGGAACTTCGATACATAAAATATAATACCCAGTTTATTAGCAGAGTCGGGACTTCTCTATACGACAATAAATTTCAACAGTTTAAACAAACTTGATCAACAAAAGACGCGGGAGGTGATTCCGTTTGGTGAATGCCCTCCCATATTGCTCGGCTGGTAGTTGGCAGAAACTGGGTAATCTCAATAACCAACTAGCCAACTGAGTTTGGAGCGAAAATTCGCGGTGGGGATTACTCCCCATTTTATCCACCCCACCAATTTTGCTAATGTTTGACGGAAAACAGAACTAATGGGATGGTGGCGGGAAGGAACCTCACATAGAAACCTTCCCATATTAGGCGGGAGTAAAACCAGCAAATATGTCAAACACACTAATAGAGAAATGTGTTTTAGATCTGGAATTACTCTCCTAAAAGTGGTGGGAGCAGAAGGATTTGAACCTCCATGAGAGCGATTTACAGTCGCTTGCCTAAGCCGTTCGTGCCATACTCCCCAAAAGATGGTTTATTTACTCTAACTCCCAAATAATTTGATTAATGCCTCTTTCTCGACCATAAGTAACCGGTAAGCCGTTTTCGCTAACACAGTCATCACAATTTCTAACTCCAATTCATTTGTTCTTAATCACTAATTCGCCTTTGCCATGGTTGGGGCAACCAAAATCTTTATTTTTGACTAAACAGCAACGGCCAGTTCCAATAATTGCTGAACTAGTTATTGGCTTTTCACATCGGTTGCCTGTATTTTGATTAAAACCATTGCAATAACCGTCGTATTTTCTTTTTCTAGTTGTCATATTTTTTAAATATTAATGGAATTACTCCCAAATTGGAGCCTTCTCCCCACTTCAATCTATTCCAATTTTGCAAAACAAAATTATTATGAATTATTCCTTTGGGCGGGGGAGAAGAAAGTGGAACCCAAAATATTAATCGTTCACCATTTTAGAATACCCCCTCAATTTGTTCTAAAATTCTCATCCTTTTATTTTCATCAGTTTCTAAATTGAACTTATCAAT